CCTTGTGCAACAACCACCCGTTTCTGCTTCTTTGTCTCTGATGATGGATTCGAGTAGGAATCCGAAATGTCAGGTTAATAAAGCTCTTGTCCTGGCGATCGTGTCTCCGTCTTCAAGACTACTTCCTGGGACTCGTCTCTTCGCTTCAATTGGCGCTTGAGTTTTGCCTGGCATACTGATATAACCGTGTGAACCGTGTAGTCCCAGTATGATCGTTTTTGGTGATACATTATCTAACACGAGGCAGTCTTCGGCTTTCGCCTGCCCTTCTCCGTGATCGGTTTATTTCAAGAGGGGGGCTATGCATTCTTGTGTCATTTCGGTACTTACCATCCAACGCGTACTGTAAGGATCGTTGGTTCCACTTTGGTTTACTTTGCCTCACTTAGAGCACAACCGCTCAGCTTCTACAACATCTCCAAACTGTGCCTGTTGTCGGACGTGTACGCAATGACTTATTTACTTCTTCGAAAAGACTAGTTTAACTTTCTTGTGTCATATCGGTACTCACCATACAACGCCTGCTGTGAGGATCGTTGACTGCGTTTTGGTTTACTTTGGCTCGGTTAGGACACAAACGCTCAACTTTCATAATATCTCCAAAGGGTCTCTGTTGTCACACGCGTACGCCATAGCTAACTTACTGTTATGTACGCAAAACAGAAGGTTAGTTGTAAATATGACGTGTACTGAGTACGAAAGACAGCACAAGTGAGGAGGCTTGTGGAAACGGCCGGTTGTATGGCAGGGGCGAATGTCGTAGGCTGATGGGCGGCCAATTGGCACAAAGAAGGTGTGAACAGGCGTACATGACCTTGACCGTTCGCTTGTCACGCGTTTGTGGCATGATGTCCTGATGGCCCGGGAAGGATACGCTGCACTCACTTCTTCAAATACACTTCTGCGTAGTCCATATCATAACCTACAATAAGGCAGTTAAATTCCGTTGAGTTTACATACAAACATTTACTTACAAATGGTCGTCAAATGGAGTTCAAAAAGGAACCACTCAGGTTCCCTATTCGGGAAGCTGTTGCACAGGTTATGCTTCCGCAACATACGGCAGGAATATTTCTCACACTTGCCTCAAAACTACGCTGTCTAGGCCAAACCACAGACTATATTGAACCCCGTCTACATGGGCCCATATTATTTGACCCGACGCCGGAACCCTTAGAGTTTTCCTCCTTCGACAATGGTCGCACTGGAATTCATATCTGTCGATGTGACGCCAAACGTATTGGCATGTTGCTACGCTAGATAGCAGTGCCTTTGTCTGACAGTATTCTACCACCTTCTCCGAATTTATACCTTTGGTTATTTCCTCCGCTTTGATCAGAAAATTAAGTTTCGATTGTCCGACTTTTCTGCGACCTGGTGTTGATGCTCTGTATTTTAGAAGAAAATAAACAACCATTATTACCTCTTCTGTTCATAAATGCATTTCATTACTGTGCATGACCTTTGCACATAAATATTTTTTTCCGTTAAATTTTTATTTTGCAGTAGTCAGTTGACTTGTAATGAAGATATTAACAGGCATCTATACTTACGTTAGTTGGTTTTTTCCTTGTTCATTAAGATGTATTTCCATAGCTTTTTCTAATATTCATGTGCCTCAAATCAGCTTGCAGTAAATTTTCAAAGTTACTATATTCGGCACTTACTGTTCCTCTCTCCTATTGGCTGTTCGTTCCGTTGGTCCCTAGGCTGTCGCGAATTTGCAGGCGGCGGATTATTCAATTACCTTTTATTTATTGAGGCTTGTCTTTTGTTTATTTTTCAACTAACGAGCTCGCTTCCGTTGCTATTTATAGGCGTAGAAGAAGAATTTCTGCAAAGATATATCTGTTTTCTAAGTGTTACTGAATGAATTTCGCTCCTCCTTCGCGGTGATGCCCCGCCCGCAAAACCCCCATTACCACCATTCTCGTACTACACGAGACTGGGGTTACTGGTTGTGAAGTAGGGTCACACAACCTATCGTTGGCGCTCTCTTTGTTAAACCTTGTAAAGGCGCGACTGGTGAGTTGTAATATAGACATGGCCGACTTGGCTGCCTTCGTGCAGTTCAGCGTTGGTTTGAGTGAAGATGTAATCCACACCCCAAAGTCCTCCTGACTGTCAGCTGATGTGTCGTTTAGAAAGTCGGTTATCGGGCTGGAGACTCCACAGCTGCCGATTCAAGGAAAGTTGCACTGAAGGGTATGAACCAGTGCTTCGACCAGTCTTCAAGTTGTTTGTAGGTGGCCTTCGTCTGTCGCATTGCGAACAACTCTCCACAATTTTATGCTAGCAGCGAACAGAACGACATTCCGGCCGAGGTGTCTGAGAAAACCACTGATGCGAACAAGGACTAATGTGGACACTGAAACTGAGCCCTGTGGGATACCACTTAACGCAGCTCGACTTACACCTTTTGGAATCGTCTATTCAAAACGTTCTGGCTCCATGAAAGGAGGCTTCCGCAAACTCTCACGCTGCGCCGTTTGTGCAGAAGGTTTTGGCTTTTTGAAGTCTATGTAAATTGTGTGCACCACATTGCCTTCATCGCGGGTTTCAATTCAGCGTTCAAGGGAAAGAGCCGATTCGTAACAGAGGACCTATCACTTGGAAAGCCGTGTTTGGCGTCCTATAGGAGGTGATTCTGCTCAAAAACTGCATCAACGTTCTTTAAATCATTTCCTTCACGATTTTTCCCAAATGGACCTAAGACTCCATTCGCAGATACCCGAATTCCACTCATAAATAGCAGATTTGTGGCTGCGGACTTCCAATCATAGGGTAGACACCCAGTAGAAAATGGTGCCTGGAAGTGCAAGGTTAACGACTTGAGAATTTCAGAAGCTAGCTCCTTCAACAGATTGGCTGGGATTTGACTCTCAAGTTCATCAGTTCTTCCTCAATACGTTTTTCAGTGAAGAGGACTGTGTTGTAACCAAGCGGCGAGAGTAAGTGCTCTGTGCTCTACAATCATCAGGTCGAATACCAAGTCGTAAGGAGAAGACAGAGGGCACCAGAATGAGGGGTTTATTGTGCACAGAACCCGGAGTTGTCCTCTCAGGCGGTAGTGTCCACTGGCGAAGCCAGGGCTGGTGTTGACTGCGTCCAGTCAGGCCTGAGAGTCCTTGATGCAGTGGTGGCAGCCGCTTTTGTAGGCTCGTAGGCCAAGCTCAGGTGGTGGCCAGTCAGCGTGTGTTGCATTTGCCGAGGGGTGGTGTCCCAGTGGCTTGTTTTGCTGGTTGCAGGGGGTGGCATGTTCAAGTGGCCGCATGGGCAATTGCGACTGCGCGGACGCAGGTATGCCCGAGCTGTTGGTCGTGTGACTTCAAGTCAGCTCGTCTGGGACGGCTCGCTGCAAGTGGTGAATGATCTTGAGGCAGCGAGTTCTTGAACAATGACGTCAGACCAGTCAAGATGGCTAGTCGCCACAACTGCTCCTCGTCGTCATACTTGGGTGGGGAAATCCGGTTCCTCCTGTAAAGATGGACCGGAAGAACTCTGTAGGCAGTGTGCCACGGTGGGGCAGGATCCTTAGTTCACGTAGTCTACCTTGCGTGAGAGAACACTCGCATTGTTCGTGCCTGCCCAATAAGGAAAGGCCGCGAATTCCTGGAGGCAATGCACTCAGATGAGACATACATCAATCGGCATATCGATTTAGATGCCACATACAAATTTCTCAAAGCCAAATGGAAGCGAGCGCAGCCAATGCCGGGGGGATGACGAAAAACCGATGACGCGCTTTGGCGCAGGCTTCGGCTAACCATAGAATCAATTGTTCGACACGGTTAAATAGTTGAATGTTTTTGTACATTACCTAAAAGTCTGACGACGAGCTGGGGAACCAGACTCGGAAATTTACGCATCGAAGGTTATTCTCTTCCCAGCCTACCAGCAGCCTTCAAATCCACGGCACTTGGTGCGTCGGGATAGTCTCAGGCTCGAGCCACTCATGGAACAGGAGCAGCACGAAGACCGAGTCGAGACAACACTTCCCACTTGCGTGGGAGGTGGCAGTTGGGCGCTTGCGGTGGGTGATGCTGATGTGCGGCGAGATGCCGGTGAGGGAGGATGTCGTGGTGTGGTGCAACCGGCGGTTGCCTACCGCAGGTTTTTGTGGATGCGCACGTGGCCGAATAGGCCCATGCGGTGCACGAATGTGCGAGGGCAGTGTGGACAGTGGAGGCAGGTGCGGCGGGTGTAGGTTGGTGCTTCAGGCACTGGTTCGACGGTCTCTGTGCGATGGATTCGCGAGTGACCGATCAGACCGATGTGTGAAGCGAAGGTACGATCGCAGTGAGGACAGGTGCAGTTCAGGCCTTCACCTCTGGTGTCGGCGATTGTGATGTTGGTGTTTGCCGGTGTGTCAGGACTGTTTGTAGTTAACAGAAACGAACAGGCGATTTCCAGGTAGCAGTTCAGAAGAAGAAGATGGGATCAATGGAACAAGAAATTTATTGGCTTGACGTTTCGGATTCTCACTCGATCCCATCATCAGAGACAGTCGCAGATAAGGGTAATGGTGGCACTAGGAGTGCAGTATTTATAACACGTGGCTGCCGTGGGACCATATGCGTACTGTAATTAACAGCTCTCGCGATCACTGATGGTTGTCATAAGGGGGCGATGATGGTTTGTCAGTCTACGTCCGAGTCGTTAATTGCCGCGATTTTGTCATCCGCGTTGGATGCTGGTGTGACGATTTGCTCGGCACGTCGGGAGAATGACGGCCTTAGATATCTTCAGTTTCGTGCTGACCTGAAGATCGTGACGATTCCAAACTGTGTTTTGGAGGTGACCGAAGGCTTGACTGGCCTTCAAAATCCAGCCGGCTACTTCGCCGTCCATTTTGGTGCTGCAGGAGAGGGTACCGCCCAGACACGTGAAGTTGTCCACCACTTGCATTTGGGTTCCGTTCACACTGATTTGCGGAGCATTGCGGGAAGTGGCTGTATTGGGTGGCGGTTGGTGCGTGACAACTGTTTTCTCCGTGCTTGCTAATGATCAGACCGAAATTCACTCAGGCGGCGGCGAAGAGATCCCTGCTCCTTTACTTGTCCCCTTCCGAAGTAGTGTTGAGGACGCAGTCGTCGGCAAAGGATGCACGGTCGGTTGTAAGGATGCACGATTTTGGAGTTCACGAACTTCGGGACTTCTCCTTGACGCCACATCTCCTGAGAGAGATCCGTCAGATGATCCATGACTTGGAGGCAACCTTGCTTGTAGACCTCAGCAGGGATCGCGTCCGATTCGGGCGCTTTCCCACTGAAGTGCTGCTGCACGGCCCTGGTGGATTTCTTGGAGTAAGGACGGGAGGTCGAGGGCGGAGTCGCTCTCCACTCGAGGTCGACGTTGGTCTCCAATGGAGGCAGACGGGCGATGGCGGCGTCGGAGATGGTGGAGGGCAGACTTATCCGGTCTCGACTGGAACTCATTGTTTACGCGTAGTGCCAACGATGACTGGGAGTTGTTCAAGAATGTCCTTCTGCAGCTTATCAACAACCACTGCCCACTGCCTAATGTAAGACTGGCCAAACGCCCTGGGTAGTTAAATAGCAACCTAAAGAAAGAAATTAACAGGTAAACAAACTGTGGAAAAAGTACTGCGTCACTGGTCAAGTTGACGATTTCAACACCTACAAGAGAGAAGGAAACCAGCTGAGAAGCATGCTTATAAAGACGCGCCAAGAATTTGAGAAAAATAGCTAAGAAGGGCAATACAGAACCCGAAATTTCTTTACAGCTACTTCAGAAGAAGTACAAGGAACAGGCACCAAATCCCCTAAATAAGGATTATCAGTGGCTTTCAGATTGCGGATAGCAGGGACAAAGAAGCGTCTTTTTCACAGTTCTTCCAGTCAGCCTACACAAACCAGGCAAGGTTCCTTCCTGTCTGCACAGATGAACTGCTGGCCCCAAGCATTAGTGGTATACTCTTCTCAGAGGACATTTTCCGAACAGAATTAGAGGCATTGAACAAATCGAGATCGCCAGGACCTGATGAGATTCCACCCAAGCTTCAAGTTCAAGCACCCAAATTCAAGATCAACGCGCGCAGCACGATTTTGAAAAGATTCGTGAAAGTTATATTTTTGGATTCAATTTCTTAATCTCTTGCACAGTTTTCCAGTTTAGATCTGACAAAATTTCCTATTTTTTGTCATAAGTCATCTTCGCTTCCCGTCGTGTTTTGGCGATTTGTCATAAATCAGAAATCCAGTGTCATAGTTTTTCACCCAACATAGCCTCAATCCAATCAAGTCTTACCTGAATATGCAAAAGGTTTTCCTCGTAAAAATATAGAATAGCATTATATTTTAAACGATAAACCGTCTCCACTGACCGCTTTTATTGTCGGTTTATTGAGACTTATACTGTTCTCTATTTTATCCTACATAGCCTCATTATCCAATTCAGATTTATTCACAGTTCTGTTTTGCCACCTACGAAATTGTCATTTACCCGATTTTTTCAAGTTTGCATTCTGTTATTGAGTAAAATTTGCTTAGTGTAAATTGTGCTGCCTGGTCCACCAATATTGACAGCTTTCAGAAATAGTTTCATCATACATAGCCTCATCCATATATCCTCGAAGTTTCGACAATTACCATCCATATAAATATTTGGACTTAAGTCTTATACTGCTTTTTCGACATGAAACCTCAGGCAACCCTTCGTCGAAATCTGAAGGAAACTAAACTTCATCTGAAACCCATTGTTCATATTAAAAAAATTGATCTAGGGGCGCTTGATGATTTTAACAATTTTATGTCTCGTTACGGATCAATTTTTTCTGTTCTTGGTGCCCTTCTTGACGGAAAGTTGCCAACGCTTACGTCTCAGTAATGTGAGAAGCTCATGCCTCTCATTAACCTGGTTGCTACTGAGACCAAAGACAGGCACAAACGAAGTTTCAATTTTATATTAAAAAACGTTCCTACGAGTAGACAGCCAATCGATGTCGCTTTTCATTTCCTTTATTCATGTGGCTTCAACTTTAGGGTCGCTGAAGCTAAAAGGCTTTCATCTAGGAGCAAGAATCCACCAATTCTTGTCAAACTCTTTTCGTCGATAGAAGTGGATTTTATTTTCTCCCATTTGAAGCGCTCGATTCAATATCTCAGGGGAAATAAATTTTTACTAGTCGAGATCAAACTCCACGGCAACGAAGAGTTTCTCGCCCATTAACAAACGTAAAGCCACCCCCGAATTCTACTCAAATGCCTTTTATCTCTAAAGCAGTTTCTCCATCGGGTGTGGACTAAATCTCCCCACTATCTACAGCGGACCGAGCTCTGTCTAGCTCTTCGACTGATCACATTATCACAGAGTCACTTGAAACTAGCCTCTTTAAAACTCCCCCACGAAGCAAGGATTGTTCAAATGCGGCTCCCAAATTTACTAAGGAGCTTGATCTTAACAGTAAAGATGAGCCAGTCCTTGAAGCACAACCGACTCCCAGCACCCAGAATAGTGATTCAGTTAATAAACTTACATCGAATTCACCCCGTTCCCACGCCTGGCCACTCAGGTCTGACCTCGTGGTTAGGTCCAATAAGCTAGATGATAGTTCAGGGAAATCTTTACCTGCTCCTATCCTGAATTCTCAACTTAACGCCCCAGTTGTGAAGCCCTCTTACACACCAGACTGCAAAATGCAAGTAAATAGCATTGCTGATAACTTTTCCAATCCCACTGTTAGTCTGACACACCAAATAATAAAGCCCTTTCCTGATGTTAACTGTTTCCGGAAACCATTACGTCCACTACCAAACATAAACTACCCCTCATATTATGCTTACAGTTCCCAAAATCCTATTTTCATGCCCCCTATTTTTACAACCCAACAAAATAGCTTTCCTCTTCCTGGGTCCTCCTCAAATGTTTTGCCACATAATGCTGCATCTCTAGTTAGTAGTTGCCCCACAAATTTTATACCGCAGCAACTTTGTCCTCCACCAATTGCTTCGTTCCAACAGCTTAATTTTCCACCTCCGGCTCTTGCTTTTTTATAAGTAGCAATGAGCGGAACCTACATATTAGGAATACGCTCAGTATTGTCTCTCTCAACGCAAGATCTGTCGTGCAACAGATGGCACTCCTAAGAAGTGTAGCTGTTGAGTTTGACACAGACGTATTGTGCAGTACAGAATCTTGGGCTCACTCTCTAATTTCGGACTTGACACTCAATATAGATAGCCTCAGTTTATACCGCCAGGATCGTGCCGAAAGACGTGGCGGTGGATGCCTTCTTTACATAAGAACCTCACTTGCACAATCGCCTTATGACTTGAACATTTCCTCCTTCTCTGGAAATTTATGTTTTGTTTCGGTACTCCTTCCGCAAAATAGGAAAGCCTTAGTCGGATGTGTATATAATCCTCCTTGTTCCTCCGGAAATGAAAGCCAACTCTGTGAACTCTTTAAAAAAATTGCAGAAACTTCTTTCGATGTCAAGATAATCGTAGGCGATTTTAATTTGCCAGAAATTGACTGGCACGCACATACTTCTCCTCCTAAATTCCAGAAGCTGCTTAACACCATTTACTTTTCAAACTTATCTCAATTAGTTCGCTCTTCGGCCAGAAAAGATAGTGTTTTAGACTTAATTTTTACTAATTGCCCCTTCCCTCTATCTATGGATTTCTATCATGACCTTTTTGCAAGTGATCATGCATTTATCCATTGTCGCCTTCCAGTTGCTATTTCCACAAAGCCAACAGTACAACGTAGTATTTTTGACTTTGCTAATATTAACAAGGACGTAGTAAATAACTTTACATGCACTCTTGATTGGCACAATATTTTTTTCAAATAATGATCTAAATTTTTTCAACAATTTATTACAATGCGTAACAGAAGGTCTTCTTGACCTTATTCCTCGGAAGATGTTCAAATCGAGTGTTACTTCCACCGCTGTCCCACACTTTCTTAAAAACAGACTTAAAATTTACGGAAGCAGTTTAAAGATCCTTCTGTGAGTTCATTTTCAGTTCAGCTAAGAATCGTTGAAATATTTGAACTAGCTTCGAAAATGAGGCTCCCGCGAGATAGGCGTAGAGAGTCTTTAGCTATTAATGACGTGAATGCTTCTAAATCAGTTGCTCAGCTCTTCTGTCAAAGATCATCTGCTAAGTCCCACCAAGTCAGTCCGCCTTTGCTTAGTACTAGCGATGCCTTCATTACTGAGGAGTCAGGCAAAGCAGAAATTTTAAATTCGTTCTATGCCAAGCATTTCACCATTGAAACTGATCCGATCCCTTTAATTCCTTCGTTGTCTGATGCTTCTCTTAGCATCATTAATTTTTCTCCTGAATGTATTCAAAAACTGACAAGCCATCTCACTCAGTAGGTACGGACAATATCCCAAACTCTTTTATAAAACAGCTAAGAGATTTTCCTCCTCTGCTTAGCAAAATTTTTTTCCCTGACTATCGGAAAACTTCTGTTATTATTCCTGTATTTAAGTCTGGCTGTCGTTCTGACGTACAGAACTATCAAGGTGTCCATAAAACACCCTCTCTCGTCAAAATCTTTGAAAAAATTATCGTCGAAAAAATTACTGACTTTTGCATAGCCAAGCAAGATATTACCCTTCCCAGCATGGTTTTTTACCAGATCGCTCTTCTGAAACATGTCATCTGTCGTTTCTTAATCTACTTACCTCTCTTCGTAATGACCATCAATCTGTTGTCGTTATTTATTTTGATCTTAGTAAAGCCTGTGAAAAAGTACCACATAAAAGACTCTTGGTGAAATTGGAAGCTATGGGGATCCGCAGTCCACTAATAGGCTTTCTCAGGTCATACCTGTCTAATCGTAAACAAAAAGGTTTTGGTGGGATCTTCACTTTCCAGTGAAAGCCCTATTGTAAGTGGTGTCCTACAAGGTACCGTTTTAGGTCCTCTTTTGTCCTTGCTTTACATAAATGATATTTCAGCAGCAGTTAAACATTCTCAAACATTTATTTATGCCGATGATCTCAAATGTGCATATTCTTTCAATAAATCTACGAGCCTTCATTGCCTGGAGCAAATCCATGCTGACTTGCTTGCTCTCTCAGCTTGGAGCTCAAAATGGCTAATGGAATTCTCTCCGTATAAATGTCGTTATATGTGTTTTGGACCTGATAGGCTACCCCAACCAGTGGTCTTTCAAGGCACACCTATGACTGAATGCACCACCATCAAGGATTTAGGTTTAAGCTACACTAGTAATCTTGATCTCTCCCCGCACGCTGACAGAATTACAGCCAAAGCTGCCCAGATTTGTGGCTTTATTTCTTACAATTTCCATCTTCCTGAAATTGAATTAAGGCTCTATCGTATGTTTGTACTTCCAATTATCGAGTATTGTTGTCCATTCTTTGGTTTTATGAATGAAACTAGTCGCTTAAAAATATCCAAAGACGTTTTTCTAAAAATGTTTTAGATAA